CATTTCTTGATCTAGCAAGACATTGCTTGGTTTTAAGTCGCAATGCACCACAGGCGTTGAATAGCCATTGTGGAGATAGTCCATCGCAGATGCAACATCTATCATTATATCTAATCTATGCATCATGTCTAAGAAAAGGTTATGAGAATATAGCCATTTTTCAAGTGTTCCATTCGGCATGTATTCCAATACTAAGGCTTTGAAATCAAGGTTGGAGCAACTAGTGATGACTTTAGTAAGATTTCGATGGCGGAGGTTGCGCAACATCTCACATTCTGTATCAAAACTTTTGAATGCACCCTCCAATTGCACATCGAATACCTTTGCTGCGAAAAAGGTACCATCCTTAAGTATCCCTTTGTAGACCTTGCTGAAACTCCCATTACCAAGCAAGTTGCTTTCACTGAATCCTTCTGTTGCTTGTTCAAGTTCATAATAAGAAATTCTTTCATGCTCTTTAACGAGCGACACATCAGCTTGATCTACATTCTTTTTTATCTTTCTCCATCTTAACACCGCATATCCAACGACCAATGCAAAGAGTGATCCTATCCCTAACAGAGTATATAAACCTATAAGCACTCTTTTTCTTCTTGACTTCTTTGTATATTTTGGAGGACATGGTTTCACGTTAAATCTGGAGTCACCACAGAGTGCATCATTGGACAGGAAGGATTGGCTAGTGATATTTGCAAAAGGTCCACCGGTGGGAATTTCACCACTAAGTTTATTAAATGAGATGTTCAGTTGTTTAATATACACAAGATCTTCTAATGACTTTGGAATCTCACCACTAAGATTGTTAAAGGACAAATCCAAGAATTCCAAGGCAAGAATTTTCCCTAATGAATCTGGAATAGGACCATCTAATTTATTGTGTGCTAAAGAAAAATTGGTCAATCTATCTAGACCTCCTATAGAGCTTGGGATATTACCTGAGAAATTATTTTTTGACAGTTCAATGAGTGTGGCAGCCTTTAAATTTCCAATCTCCAGAGGAATTTGCCCACTTAATAAATTGGACGAAACATTGAATTCTATGATATCTCGAAGGCTTCCCAAGCTTGCAGGTAATCTCGAATTCAGCCTGTTGTAAGCCAGATTAAGTTTCCGTAAACTGGTAATGGTCCCTAAGCATGGTGGCACTGAACCGGTAATCTGATTTCCCGATAGGTATAATTCACCAAGATTCTGTAAATTGCAGATAACATCTGGTATGGTTCCTCCTATCTTGTTTTTATGTAGGTAAATTTCTTGAAGTTTCAGCATGCGTTCGATAGTTTTTGGAATATATCCAATCAACTCATTGTTAAATAGACTCATCCTTGACATTCCAGTAACATTACCAATTTCTTCAGGAATGAAGCCCTTCAGTTTACAACCTTGTCCATCAAAAATCTGCAGAGAGTTAGAGAAATTCCCAACAGATTGAGGTAAAACACCATCTAACGGATTGTCAGAGTACCTGAGAGATCTCAGTTTCCTACAATTTGTCAAAGGTGTTAAGGAAGCTCAATGTTGAATCGCCGAAAAAATTATTTGCCCCCAAGGCCAAAACCTCAAGGTATTCTAAGTTACCCAGTGATTCAGGAATTGGACCTGTGAATCTGTTGAG